ACCTTCAATACCAAGAGGAGATGCGCATATCGTCGGCTTGTTCCGGTCAGACACTTTAACTCAGAGTTATGGCCCTTGATTAGTTATGCAATATGCATATGGAGTAAAAATCGTTTCCGGAGTAGTTCTCTGCAACTACTGGCTGGAATTCAACGGATCATCAATATCAAGAGGAGATGCGCATATCGTCGGCTTGTTCCGGTCAGACACTTTAACTCAGAGTTATGGCCCTTGATTAGTTATGCAGTATCCATATAGAAAAATATTTGTTTCCTCGCTACTTCTCTGCTTCTACTGGCTGGAATTCAATGAAACTTTATGGGATACTAAGAGGAGATGTGCATATAGTCGCCTTGTTCCGGTCAGATACTTATAACTCAGATTTATGGCCCTTGATTAGTTATGTAGTATGCATACATCTCATTGGCATTTCCAGATTTTACTATTTAACACAAAATTATGGCTCTGTTATTACCCTGAATATTTATCAAGTTCAAAGAATATTACTGTTTATGCCATGATTAATATATAAATAAAGCCTTATGTCTTCAGTTGTTGTGTTAATAATAACCAGTACTCGGCGGGGGATATAAATTCAACGAATTTGCTTGTTCACTTACAAATGTTTAACTTCAATATCTGTACAAAACATTTTATTTTGTTATTGACCCCTGTTGTGATTTGACCATGTGAAAGTCTGCTTCTTCAGTAACCAGCACCGTTTCCTCTATTAGAGTAGGAGGGTATTAATCATTGTAATTATAAAATAACTTAATCCTCCACATAAAGCAGAAGTATGTAATACATATCTTGCCGCAATGATCGTCTTTGGGTAGTTTGAACGTTTTGTTACTAATCGATTCAAATTCAGGGAAATATCATTTAAGATAGCAGTAGTTAGAAATCGCAACAATACCATTGCTCGCACGTCTTAAACATTTTACCAATTACAAATCTCAAAAAACTTGCTTTCGTGGTTTTCATTTTGTCGGCAAATTCGTTTGAATCGCGTTTTCTGCATTTTCGGAGACAAATATCTTTCCATGCGCTTAAAACAGACTACACATTGCAGAAAAAAACATTTTAATTTTGCCGTTTACTGTGATAAATTGTTGTTTTTCTAAAATAAAAGTGATGTTTTTCGCTAATTTGAAATTTGGGAAACTGTTCATTTTGTTCCTGATTTTTTTATCATTATTTCCTTTTTTGCTCGTAAAATAATTCTATTTTGTGCAACAATTCAATTAACAGTGTGTACGATATAAAGTAAAATTAAGTTAAAAATAACTATGTTATTTATTGCCTATGATGTCAACTGATTATGAGTGACACTTGACAGATAATGAGATTGTGGCGTTGGATCGAAAACTCATAATCATAATCAAACCGCTGAAATCGAGGATATGCAAACATTATATGTCATCCAAACTTCAATCTGTAAGGTGAAAGTATTTATAGCACGAATTGATTGATTATATCATGAAAACTTAATAAAGTCATTTTACGCATGTTTTTTAGTTATTTTTTTACTTTAACAAAAGAATATAATTTATTAAAAGAAAATATAACTTGCTTCTTGATTCTAGTGACCTCTGTACATTCATAAGGGAAGCAACTTTTCAGTAGAAATCACAGAGACAGACATTTCAACAATAGAAATTTATTCCCTTCAGTCTCGCACTTTATTATAAATCTTAGATTTCAGAAACTTAATTAGTCATGTGATATTTGGAATGATCATGATGGGTCTCCTCAATTTAAAGTTATCTAAAGATTTGCGCTTTTCTGGGCATGAGTGTTACTTGTTCGTTACGCATTTTACGCAAAAGAATCTTCAAAAACGTACTGTTTTAGCTCATAATCCATACCCAGGTAAAATGATAATTAACATCTATGTTAGCACAACAACGAAAAGAAATGTGCATGTTTGATTTGGATTCGCCAAATCATCCTGTTTAATTAGCTAGATACTGGAATAACTTTCCCTTAAAACCAGGGTCGTTACTCTGACACATGACTGTTCTTTTTGTAAATCACATCGTAAAGTAATTGTTCACATGGCTCAGCATAATACGTTTCAGCTGTTGCATCATTGTTCATATTTTGAGAGTAAGATTTTGTATCGTTCTTATGAACCGCAATCATATTAATATTACAAATAATTTGCACAAACATATAACTACAGACATGACAATGGTGAATTTGTTCACAAAGTTTAGAGAAAAAGCAGGACCTAAATTTATGAACCACATAAATTCTGCCTTCGTGTTTTCCATGTCGTCAGTAATTACGTTTTTGTCGCATTATTTGCATATTGAGAGAATATAATCATTTAAATCAAATCTTTAAGACGCTAAAAAATCCAACATAACACTTTGCTGAAAACGTTTAAGCTGTGTCGTTGATTGAAATAAATTGTATTATACTTTTGAATTCAGAGTGATTTAAAGTAATTTATTACAAGGAAATATAATGTATTTCTGGTTGTGTGCCTTTCGATTGTTTTATTCATATATTTATTTAATAAATATTTATTTTTATACGAAACTGAGCTGACATTAATGATTTTACTTTTTGGAATTATCTTTGTGCTTAAAACGTAAAAATATTTTGATATATACATGTATATGTACCATGCACTGACATTTATATTAAACTTGTATCTTATTTGATTTTTACTTAACAATACTTTAATTTAACTCATTTTTTTCCGACTGCAATAAGGAAATGGAATAATCTTCCATCCACACGATGTTTGTTCCCTTTCTATCATCAGCACAATTTGAAAAATAAAAATAAACGACGTGCGCGCATTATTTTTTTGGTGAAAGAAAACTTCACGTTTCTCATACAAGGCTTCGAAAAACTTGTAGTTGTTTAAACTACCATTTGTATTTGCAAAACATGTCAGTGTCGCCTTTATGTCTTTTTGGCCAAACATAAATAACTTTTATTTCTTCTTTTAGTGTACACAGTTTGACACAGCTCGACAAAGTTACTTTGCTATTTGAATAATGTTGACATTGATTTAAATGTTCTACTTTGAGGCAACCAGACCTTCCTGGCCGACTGAAAGCATAATATTTTCACATGTACACACCTATATCAAAGAGACAAAAATATTCATTTAGCACTCAGACACATAACCATTATATTTCTATATTTGAGACACAACATTATTAATCTTCCCCCCTTCACAACTTTTTCATCAATTCTGTGTTCCTTTTTAACGCCCATTTCATTGTGTATGCTTATATCCTGTTTTAAATATATATGATTATGTTACCACCAAACGTTATTCTTATTCTTATTTTTTCTCTCATATGTCTAATGAAAAAAAACTCTTCTGCTTCCAATAATATATTTATTCAAAGTGTATTACATGGAACATATACTATGTTTCTTGAGCATTTAAATTCGCGTCTGTATTTTATCATGCCATTACTATGACAACTGCCTGATAAAGCCTGTCTGAGAACATCAACCTTTCTCAGTCAGTGACTTGAGAACACTTTTCCATGCTTAAACCTATGGAAAAGTCAGAGGATATCAGATTTTTCAAGCACCTCCCACTTTTTGCCGGACTACTTTCACAATGTAAACAGCTTAAAGCATTGCAAAAAATAAAAAGATAAAACAGCCTAAATAAAACATATTTATTTAAAAAAAAATGTTACAAAAAAAAATAATGATTTTTAAATGATTTAATTTTAATTAAAGGTATATTTACACAAATTCTTATTAAGATGCTTACATCTTTAAAAAACATCTTCTGCTCTTAGACATCTAAAACAACAACAACAACAACATTAATAATATTAAATAATTTTAAAAAAAAGATGAATTCTTAGTAACAAAATCAGAGTAAGGACAGGAAAAAACATTAATTATATTTACATCATTCTCAAGTTTCACAAAGATAATTATAAATAATACAAATAAGCACTTTTTAATCTTAATTTGACAATCCTTCAACTTTATGGCAACGTTCAATGTGCACTGGGATGATTTGTTGGAAGTTCAAATGATGAATATTGAAGAAATTTATGACAAGAATGAATTTGAAGTCAACACTGGTATTGATCCATCAATATTTGATGAGGAATTTGATGAAGAAAAACAATACAATGTTACAAAGTTATTGACTGATTCTCAGCTGTCCGAGTATTCAAAGACTCCTGTTTCAACTGAATGTCTTCAAATTCCTGAAACTGCTGCTCAATGTTCTCAAGCAGCATCTGATCAATATCCTCAAGTTGATGAAAATCACAGTGCTGTGCCTGTCCTTACTGATGTTGCCTCTGAAAATATGAACAAAGGCTTTATAATGGTTGATATGGACTCTGTAAAGGCATTTAACGAGTCGGAAAAAAATCAGCATACAAAACGTAAAATTAACCAACATATAAACAGGCTAAAAACTTTTCTCAAACTAAAAAACGAAACACGAGATTTCCATTCCATCCCAATGACGGAGCTGGATGAGCTTCTTGCCATGTTCCTTCTCTCCATTAAGAAAGAAGATGGAACAGACTACGAGCCGAGTAGTTTACGAGGGTACATATCTACATTTGACAGAGTTCTCCAGGAAAATGGGTACCAATTTACCATAGCTAGCCAAAAGTTCAAGACAAGGATTTCCCCTAACAAATCAGACTAAATCGGTAATTACAATTTATTACGTCTATTCAATAATCTTTTGGAAATTAAATAAATCCAGCAAAAAACTGAATTTCAAGATACATGTATTTCATCATTATAAACTAAGACGTTTAATCCCCCCCCCCCCGGACTTGTTTCGCTTATAATTAAAAACAATAATTTTGCCTGTAATGAATTTTTGTTTTTTAAATGATCGTTTAATTCTCTACAAATAATAATGATATAAATCAACTATTTTTCAAACAACAAAATGATTAGCATGTAAATTTAAGGCAAAAACAAAAACAATCTAAAAAAATCAGGTAAAGGCAACAAAGAAAATGCTGCCCAACCAATAACAGATGAAGAGATTGACAGGCTTTATGAAACCGGCCAACTAGGTCTTTCTTCACCACAGTCTATCATCAACACTTTGTGGTTAACATTTACCATACATTTCGGCATGAGAAGTGTAGAAGAACACTATCACTTATGGTAAATTTAAATGTCATCTCTATTAATTAAAAGACAGTTAATCAGTCAGATTATTAAACCTAAAAAATTAAAATCCATAAAAAACTTTTTTATTTCAAAATCACTTATCTCAAAATCTTCTAGTAACGTTTTTCTGGAACGTAAACTTTAAGGATGTTCAGAATGCCATTCAAAATGAAATTTCATGTGGCCGAGCTTCACCGTTTCACAACCTGAAATTGGAATAAATTTATAATTTTAGTTGCATACTTAAAACTAAAAAAAAAAAAAAAAAAGCATAAATTAACATGTAAATATTTATATTAAAAATTGTACATATAAAAATATTGTTTTCAGTTGGGGCGACGTACAAGTAAAGATCGATGCGGAGGGCACTGAGTTTCTGGAACTTACAGAGCGCCAGACTAAAACACGCACTGGAGACAGCGGTGGTTCTAGGAAGGTTCCTCCACGTATGTGGTCTAGTGGAGATGAGCGGGATCCGGTATCTGCCTACAGATACTATGCGGCAAAGCGTCCACATGGATTCAGTCGGGATTCGGACCCATTTTATTTGGCACCAAGAACAACCCCACCTACAGAATTTGACCAATGGTTTTTAAAACAGCGGGTTGGAATAAAAAAAATTGGCACACTTATGAAAACAATGACTGTAAAATCAGGCATTACACGGCACCTTACCAACCATTCTGCCAGAAAACACACTATACAAAAGCTCAGGCATTCGGACCAGGCACCTACTGATATTATGCAGATCACTGGGCATGAATGTGTACAAAGCATAATCAATTACAGCAATATGTCTTTTGAAAAAGCCAAAAAACTTGCTCTAATATCTTAAGCAGATCTGCCACTTCAGTGAGATCAATTAATACAAATAAATCTGCAACATGTACAAATGCTTCTTACCTTGACAATTGCACTTCTGTCCCAATGCAGTCTCCGCTGCCTGTTTTGCCATCTACACAAATCGAACCTCCAGTCTCTGCTCCAAACACTCAGTCTCAGGTAGTCAATGTTCCAACTGTTAATTACCCCACCCATTTCACTCAGGCTGGAAATGCTCCAGGTCATGTGCAGTCAATGTTTTTTGGTGCTACTGTCCATATACAGAATTTTAATATGTACAGCATGCCTCCAAGGAACGATCAAGACAGTAGCAGTCGTAATTGAACAGTTTTGAAATATTTCCGTTGAACAGCTGAGGTGAACATGTGACCGAGACTCCTTCGTCTAAATCAGTTATGTAAACTGTTAAACTGTTAATATCTGGCTAACAGTTTGTAAAACATTGTTCTTTTTGTGTTAATCTCCTTAATAGCTTTAAAAATCACACTTGTTATCCTGTTAAAGCACAATTAAATTCTCCAGTTTATGTCTGTTTCAGCTAAATTTTTTGAAATGGTAATATGTTCCTACGCCAGATCAGCACTGATGATGTTTATTGTTGGTATTGTTTAATTGACTTTGCTGAATATTTATGATAATACACAGTAAATAAATTGTTAAAGCAAATTGTACCAAAAATTGTGTTGTGTTATAAAATTATTGGTAAAAACCCTCGGACTACTTTTTTGGCGTATAACCCTCTTGTACAAAGTGGTTACCGTATTTTCAGAAATTAGCGCCCCGAATTAAAAAAATAAGATACAAAATCATAATAGTGGCATGATAAAAAGAATAACAGGTTACTGTCTTTTGAGAAAGGGATTTCTCAGACTCGGCTAGATATGGTCCGGAAGGGGCTCGGCAAGCCTCGCCCCTTCCAGGACCATATCTAACCTCGTCTGAGAAACCCTTTCTCAAAAGACAGTAACCTGTTATTCTCTATTTCTCTTTTTTTTGTCTAATTAAAACACACTGATTTTTTGTTTTGTTTTGTATGCTTCTCAGATTTTATAATATGTTATGTTTATGCGCCTTTTATATGTCAACGACTCACAAAGGAGAAGTATTTCATAAGACACTCTGTCTACCATTCTAATCTTTTTTGTAAGAATATTTGAAATACTTTGATCTATATTGTAAATTGAAACAATGTAAACATGTATATATATTCTGAGAAATAAAATATGTCTAAACAAAGTCTGTATCAAGAGTTTATAAATGTCAACTAGTTCCTAATACAACTAAAGTTTCTTGAACTGACAAAATACAAAGAGCCTATGCGATTGTCTGTATAAAGGAAACTCATAGAAAGCATATCATACAAAGCAATTTATCAGGGGTATATAAATTTTCAATTTTAGCATTCATACATGTATATACAAAAAGTAAATATTTCGTGATCGAAATGAGGGGAACTAGATAATGGATTGGTTTTCCTTTATTTGTTCAGTGTGTTTTTCTACAGCACACAGGTTTCTAATTTCAGTACAAGTTTTGATCAATATTTACATATAAGAATAAATAACACAACGATCAACATCATCTTTCCCTTTAGGATAAAATATATGATCCTTACAAAATGCCGTCATTTTAATCATTCTCAAATTCCTATTGTTGTATTGCCAAAAATGTGAATATGTAACTTATCAAAATAATGAGATGGAAATAGCAATACTAGACTTTTCAGCGCAAAATTGCTATATTAAGACACAAGAAATAATACCTTTAACCCATTGCTTCATGAGCATTTTGTGAAAAATGGCTGTTTTCATTGAAAAGTCTCCCGTTACAAGTTCAAATTGCTATAATACTATAAAAACTGCTTCAACACTAATCAAACTTGGCACAAATGTTGACTGGACCATTGTCCTTGCAACAACATGCTCAGACTTAAATTTTCTGTTACCATGGCAACGAGGGGACATCTCAAAATTGCCAAAAATCACTATTTTGCGTTGATTTTTTCCATCAAAATTGATTTCAGGGTGCTGCAACTTATCAATGGATTGAGATAGAGTCAAATGCTTTTCAGCGTTGGTTACACGTTACCTTATGATCAATCTGGGGTCATTTACAGCCTCTCACAAGTCCAAAATTTTCTTGGCGATGAGGGGGACTCCGCCCCCCTTCAAACCCACCAAAACAGAAGGGGGCACATCCCCCTTCTGGCAACCCCCTGATGTATCTTTTGGTTGGGGGGCCGCGCCGAAAAAGAGGTCAATTTTTTAACAACATTTCTCAAACAAAAACAAGTGTTTGGGGCCTAAATAAGGCATTTTTTCATCATTTGAGACAACAAAAAAGGGGGGGGGTGAAAAAGGCGTTAAAAGGCGTGTATATGAAGTAATGGGTTAAGATGGTTTATGTACAGACTCAATCAAACCGAGTCTGCAATTCTCTTGTAATTTTGTTGTGATTAATGCTTCCGAGGGATCACTTTGTTTCCAGATTTTTATATGCATGTGTATATTAACATGCCTAAATGATGTGCACTTATATAACAGTTAAATGATTCGTATGGTGCATTCAATAGGTGTAATAATGTAATGCCACATGTAAACACCTAATGGTAGCTTTTAGCATTGTGAATGAAACAAACACTGAAATAAAACAAAAAATATACAAATTAATATCACTAATGTTAGGCGTACTTTAGTATTTCATCGTTTGACAAAATGTAAAATTTTATAAAGGCATTTATTTACAAAAAAATAGGTTTCATATTTAATGGTTCATAAACAAGATAATTTTAAACGTCCACTGAAGATCTGTGATCCATTAATATCATTGACAAGAAATAATGTGGTTGAGTTAATACCAAAACTACCACGTGATATTCCAATAGAAATAATTATTGGATACAATCTTGTCAATTTAGCCTCGTTTACATTTTACATTTTCGGAGTCCAAAAAGTTTATATCGAATCCTTATTGAACCCATATAGCCTCGTTCTTATCTTTTTCCAAAGTCTATATCAAATCTGTGTTGTATATGAAGCAAGTATATGCACTGTCAAAATGAAAATAAAAGGTTGTGTAAAATAAAGGAGTCATTACTATGGTTGAGGACATTACTGGTTCTATTTGACTGGTACACAGCTATAAAACCTTATATTTAACAACTGTGTTCTCGAGCAGTAGAAATCATCGTAACTGTCTTGAGAAAACATAACGAGATAATTTATTATAACGAAATGAATAGCTGAAGCCACTGACTGTCACAGAAAGTCATCTGAGAGAGTAGTTTCAAAAAAAACAAATATGAGTTCCGACTCCGCCCACGTTCATATTAATTATTTCATATTAATTTTGTTTTTAACAAATATGATATATATTTGACTGATATATCACATATTTCATTGGTAAAATAAAATAATAATTGTTGTTAAGATTGCATGCGTTATAATGATACGTCAGAGTCCAAAATCGTAAATTGACAGAACAAAATAAAATAAAACGGGAAAGGATATCAGAGGTTATGAATCTTGCACATCACAAATGAATCGTAAAAGCAGTCAACATATCCTAAGGGTCTTTATACATTATTCAATATGGAATGATGGCACCGACCAATTAAAAGGCTTAAATAGAAGAAACTAAAATTTCTAAAAGCACAGCTTATGTGCGGTTGCAAACTTTCAGGACCTGAATATAACATCTCTGATTGAATGTAAATTGCGACCTTTATCGGCCTCCAAACTGAATAAAAACAACGCTGACATGACTATGCAATATAGAACGGAGTCCCTTACGAACGTCCAAAAGGTATAAACGTATACATATTTAAAAACGTGCTCAAATACTACGAGATGTCAGTCTACATTTTCGTGGTGACATAATACCGACAACATTTGCCAATAAATAAATACGTATGCATCATTGAATTCAACGAAACTGCTATGGTTATGGAAATAAGATTTTTAAATAATAATCATAATTTATTCTGAGTGTGAGAGGAGCGTGCTTGCGCTTATGTGTGTTTGTGCTGGTGTTTGATTGTTTTTTCTCTCCTTTCTTTCCCTTTCTTCATGTATACACTTACATGTATTTTCTTTTGATGAAAGACAGAAAGCATATATGAAATCTCTCTGTTGAATGTATCGTCATCATTTTCACGTCCTAATGTTTGAAAGAGTGCGGCTGGCAAATGTTTCCATACCTAAAATGTCTCTTGGAATCTTTGTTATGTACTCCATTAGTTTTACATAAACAACATCACTGTAATTCAATCTCTTAGAAATAATCTTGTATGGGTAATTGTTGATGTTTAATTTTTTTTTTATAATTTTCATAAAGTAAATTCTCAGCTTTATTGGTCAAGTAAGATCTCGAGTGCATAATTTCAGCAAAATAGCTTCTCGCTGGAAATAGTTCTAAGTCCTTTACGAGTTCCAATGCCAAAACGATGAAAGGCCAAATGTTGAAACTAAACAATCTTTAATACTCGGCTACAGTGACCACATTGTTACTCCATATATGATAAATCTTTCTTTTATATAATCAAATATTGTATGTCTGGGATAAAAGTCTCACGTCATTAGTTGTTATATATAGTGATGTGATTGCATTTTACCAAGGTAACGACGCCACACACGATAATTTAACATACAATTTTGATAAAAGAAATAATATACTCTCAATAACACAAGAAGAAAAGTAAACTATAAAGAAAGTCTAACAAAATACTCAGAATTTTAAACGAATATTTGATAATATTAATTTGACAGGAGGCAATAACATTCGCAATTTTGTTTCATTCGTTTCCCTCTATCTATTTTACTTGTACACGTACAACATTCTATTCTACTGGTTAATTTGTAGATGTCACATGAACTAAGAGAGCATCAATTATATTTGACAGAATGCGCCACCGCATGACTCGACTATTTATTTTTGTTATTCGACAGTATCTCGTTCTCTATGGTCATGGGTTAAACATGTTAAACGGTAATTTTCATGATTATGCAG